ATGTAGAAGCATTCGTGTTGAGAAGTCGTTGTGAGAAGTGTCAGCTTAGATTGCGTTGGTTCTCACTGTGCTAGTGGCATGCTCTCATTTTTTTTTGTTTTTTTTTTTGGGGATTCAGAGAATGTTGTGTTTGTCTTGTGTTTTTAACAATGAAACATCGAAAACGCAATGGATTCAAAATATCGCAGCATCGTATTGTAAATACGTGCTTCTACCATTATGAATTTCTTTTGTTAGTTTATTTATAAATGAATAGCCATCAGTGCCCTGTCGCTCCTTTTTGGACAATCATACTCCTAGTTCTTATCAGAATATTCCAATTTTAGGACTGCAGAACAGGGAACCTCATGGGACATTAAAATCCCTTTCATCGTTGTAATGGGAGAATTTACATAATTTTTTTCCGTCAAAACGGTGGCCGTTTTTGAGACTGTTAGCTGCTTCTTATCTGAGATGTGGTTGTATCTTCAAGCATTGCTATGATCTATATCTTGACTTCTTCTGCTCATTAGGGTACCTATTGCCAAAATTTCTGAGGTTTTAACTGGCAGAAAAAATCTCTTTAACAAAAAAAAAAGATAGTTTGTGTGAATATGAAAACTATATGAAAAAACATAAAAAAGCAGTCAATGTAAAGAGATAAAAGATAAATCATAGCTTTAGAAGAGATTCTTAATGAAGTGGTTTTATATCTAAGACGAACTTGAGGTGACTTGCCGAACCAGCATTTACAAGCATACAAAACGTATGTTTGTGACCCTGAAAATGCCTATAACAGTTATCATGTTGTTGCATATTTCCTACATACAGTTTCCAATACACTACACTACAATACACTATCAGATAATATTTAACCCATCTAGTAATTAATCAAGCTTTTAAGCGTACTATTTATTATGGACTCCATAAGTTAACGAGTAGAATTACTAGACTGTCGGCTTCCTTTTGTGATTGCTCTGTTCGATATATTTGCATAAATATTTTGTACTGTATAACGTACACGTTGAATTAAAAATATATTTGTTATACTGCAAGTGGATATTAAATATCCCTACCGTGAATAAATACTCAAACAAAGTAAATTTGAACAAAACATTTACTACAATTGATAGACAATGGATTTATCGGAAAGCGATTATCTCTGTGACCACACTGCAATTATCGCTGGCAAAATAAGCACAACATGTAGTTGTTTCGTGGACGCCATGTTTTTGAACACACCTCTATCGCTCTAGTTTTATTTATCTTGTCTATTTTCTCTTGGAATAATTCTTTGATCTAACCTGATGAGATAAAATTGCACACCGTCCAAAGGTCGACGTATTATTTTGATGAGTTAGAGTGACCGCCAAACCCTGTTCTGCAGACATTTGGTTACGGGTCTTTGCTCAACAGGATCCATTTCTATTAAAACCTTTGAACGGAACACCAGATAACATCAAAACAGTGTGACATAAAGCTTAGTATTTTATTTGCTTGTTTGTTGTTTGTTCTGGTGTACTAAGAAATTATTTTTTTACGATCGAACAAATCCAATACTATCAAATGTGAAACATGTGACAGAGCAGATCTAAATATCTGTGAATAATCAAGTAGTAATGCATTCAGCGAACTTCTGGGCATTGCTGTGAAAGAAGTCGTAGAGAAAAGGCAGGTATTACAAAACGAAAGTCGTAATGCTGCGAGAGTCTAACATTGAGTTGGCAAATATTCTAACAATTATGCAAAGATTCTAAAATGCGAGAAATGCCGATGAGATCAAATTGCCCAATAAATTGGGATCGGTACAGCAGTTGAACAAAAAAATGATGCTTGTATAAAAACCGAGCTCAGATGCCACAACAAACAGAAAAGCAAAAACAGCGATCTGGAAGCAGCTGTGAAAACAACAAAAGGGAAACAAAATACCAAACACAAGTACGAAAGGACATTGTCTTAGGATATAAGATCCAAAAGACAAACGCGATGCTCGTAAAATTAGTAAACAAAAGGAGACAGTATTTGGTACTGGCTCGTCTACAAGTTACATCATCACTGCCGCTAGCCACAAGGTCTGGGTGTACGTAGGAAAAATATCACCAGGATCTGGCGACATCTAAACGAAATATTCAAAGGCATCACCTCTAAGGACCGTATCGTCAGTCGTTCCTAGAATAATTGTAGGACGCCTTTATGCCCTCCTTGATTTTCATAATCTTTTCTCTCTTTCAGAAAGGGTGGGGTTTTTCTAGACTTCTAATGTTCGGTGTCAGCGTCAGCGCTCCCATATTGTGAAGATTGGTTTTCTTTTTGAATTGTATGAAATTTCAGGCTATTTAACAGAGATATAAATCAAAAGCATGAACAATTTGATGCAAATGGATATTTGTAACATAACCTCAACATAGTGCGCTACCATGAAACAGTAGAAAGCTATGAAAAGCAAGGCCATAAATGCGTCCTGCAATTGTGGAAACGACTGACGATACGAACTTAAACAGAACTGCTCCCTCCTTAGAAAAACAGTCAGACAAGATAAAGGGTTGACTCATCGCTCCAAGACCAAGTATTCGTGTCTGATTACTGGCCTGCTGGCATATTGGTTAAACCAAATATATTATTTTGATTTTAATAATGCGTGCTGATCAGTTATAACCCTCTCTCAGACCAAAGGCTTTTAGACGATTTGAGCTGTTAAACTGCATGCAAAACGATCAAGCTCATCATATAAATCTGTTGGAAGGAACTGGTGACCGGAAGCGGCACCATTCAATTTCCGGTTCAGTTTAGTTCGGTCAGTTAAATAACTTGCAAACTGCTGAGAAGCTGATAACTTATAATTAATGTCAGTATCCACATGGCCGCTGCTGCCGTTTCCTGTAAAGTGTACACAAAGTTAAGGCCGCCTTGCCACGACGACGGTCCACTCTAATGGGTATACGGATGTTGTTAGTTTCCAGATACAAACAGGCACAACTGTACCAGCTCTCAACGATGTTTTGAGACGGCGCAAATTCCAACAAGTTTGTCGTGAATGACTAAGCGAAATATGGCAAGTTTGGTATAATAATGCTGTTGATGATGGCGATTCTATACCAACAAACACTGTCTAAAATTAAATTCAATTCACAGCTCAACCTTAGGTGGAGATACCCTCAGCTCGCAAGCTGGTTTAGGTTCTCCAAGAAAGAAGACTTCATTATCATTTTACAAGGAGACCTTACATCCGTCGGGTCATCGATTTTACCGCAGCTCTATGTGTTGATAGAGACTTGGTAGCAGAGTATATTCCTAAAGTCCTAAGGTGCACAACTTGAAGAAGATATTTCTTTCCAAATCTTCAGTCTCACTATTCATCCCGAGTTTCAAAGATGCTTGACTGAAAGAACCGACAACTCGTTCTGTGCAAATGCTTCACCGAAGTAATAATAATACTAATTCTAAAAAGGAAAATTTAGGGTACCAGATTGAGCGTAACACAAGTCAACCATCTACTATATCTTGACCATTTAAAATTATTATAGACAGATATTACAATTTTGAGGGACGTCCCTATCACTACAGACCGGCAGATCAATGCTAATCGTTCTGACATCCTAGTACATGATACAAACAGTAGGACATATCAATTCATCGAAATGTGAATATAGAGTCGAGTGTCACATTGCCTCTGATGGAAACCATAACTCCCACGGTGTGGTGAACGTGACGCTCTCTGTCAAATTGTGGGTCACGTCTTTTACCACGTCGCCTTCTCATTCTTGCCCGAACATCGTGCATCCCCATACAGGAGCGGTATTCGTCACCAAACACCACCTGATTCCATTACCGGTCCAATAGAATTCTTTCTCTACACCAGAGCAAACGGTTACGCCGATGTTTAGCTGTGAGAGGTAGCACCCAATTTGGGCGATAAGAAAAAAGTGCAAACTGTCGTATTCGGCGATATTCCGTACGCATACCAACCATCCCCTTCCATGCTCTTCAAACCACTGATTAGCGATGGCTCGAGTACTATTGAGTCTGTTTCTCAGAGCCAGAAGTCTCAACCGGCGGTCTTGTCGCTCTGTGGTCCCTCTGAGACGTCCAGAACCCCTCGCTGGCTGTCCTCGACATTTCTGAGTCGACGCTCGTTCACACTGCAGTATACTGCGTAAGGATCCGTTGGTCATCCTAGAAACTTCTCTTATCGATAGACCGGCTTCACGCAACCCGACAATTCGACCCCTCTCAAAGTCACTTAGCCTGGGACACCCGGAGAATTCTAAGCACTTTGGGCATTTTGAGCAATCACAAAAAGGCTTCTCAATAAGCTACAGGAAATTTAACATTCAACTGATACCGTAAATGTACGAAAACTGAATGCTTCTTTATCACCAAACAATACACGCGGCCACAACAAGAACTTAACAGAAAAATTTGACCATTTTATCACTTGTTGTTCATAGAAAGATAAATCGATATGTAAAAAATTCCTGAATTCTGATAAACATACATATCAGTATGATAAAAAGTATATTCAAAAGGTATATTTTCTTAATTGATAAACTAAAGGCACAGATGTTTTAAATACTTTTTGCTACCTATATTTTACGTTCTAATATAAATTCATTCAGTCGTTCCTTCATATATTCATCCATAATTAATGTATTTATTATAATTGTATTACACACCTTGGGTCTTAATACTCTATGATATCATGTACAGTATAATAATACAGTCACCATTATTTGTTCAAATATGTAACATAATATCTGTACGAGTAGTGGAGAGTGTTGTACCTTGGGACAATTTTCAGTTAAAAGTATTTTTTACAAATTTTTCAATAAACATTGTTTATGAAAGCAGTAATATATTAAGCCATTTTTATACTATTTACCATAATTTTTACAAAAATGAAGTGTTATGTTTCGATATTTAATTCAAGCCTGCAAATGCGCATTGTCCCGAGGTACGACAAGGTCGTGTACCTTGGACCAAGATTAATTGTACCTTGGGACAACATTTAATAAAAGACAAAATAATACAGAAATATGTTTATTCGTATTTTGATTTATTTCACATGTTGTAAGACATAAAATCTAGTGAAAAATACAATTGCTCCATGCGCCGTTCTGATCCACCGACTAGGGTAGGCTTTGGTAACTTCTTTTCTACATCAGCATTGCAGATTTCATATATTTCTTCGGTCTTTACAAACTTGTTACTATTTATAACTATTTTTAGATACACAATTTCAAATTTGTCTTCCTCTAAATTCTTTTTATTTCTGCTATATAATGCCGAACAGATTTTTTCCTTTCAGTTCCACAAGTACAAAATCTCCTTCTAATAATGCAGTATTTTCAACATCTTCGATCTCCATTTCATTGTTGTTGAAAGTAATTGTCATCTTCACTGCTAGACTCTGCCGTTGGTATTTCAGATATCTCGTCTTCGCGACTTTCTTGAGGTAAAACGTTTTTGGTCACTTTTTCTACTTTAACCTTGGATTTTCTTATCTTTTTTTAAAGGTATAGGCTTCTAGTTCGTTCTTGTCTGGAATCTCGGTCAGTATCCTTGATTTCCCCACCTCTAATAGTTCTTGGGGCAGCTTTGGGGTATGGCCTTATCATCTGGGGGCTTATATGTATAATCAATGTTGTTATTTTGAGTTCCACTCATGGAAGCTTTAGGTTTACCACAATTTGAATATTTTGAAGGGCCAGGTTCTAAATATATTGAATCAATGGATGATCTAGACTGAACAGCATTTTGATCTTCGTGCTAATCTCCAATCTCTGTGCTAGGATTTGGCCGGTCTGCAACAAAGGCACTCAAGAATTCATCATCTCCAAATACATCTGGATTAAAGGGATAAACGCCAGTCACAGAAAATCCTTTTGTAATATTTTGCTGCGTAAATGCTTTTGGATAAGCTTTTCTAATGATTTCAGAAACTTGATATAGAGAAATATTAATAGGTTTTATAGGGTCCAAAAACAGTGCGGTCTGATGGTTGCAATTTATGTGAGGTGTGCGGTGGGAAGGTAAGCAAGACAATCCCGTGAGATTTTGCCAGCTCAATTAAGGGAATGGAGATGTGACTCTCGTGGTTGTCAAAAACCAATAAAACGGGGATTTCCTTGGAAGGCTTAACATGGTTTATAAAATGATTCATATATTCCATAAACTTTTCTTCATTGGACCACCCTGAAGGATTTGCTGCACCAATGGTTCCTGGCGCAGATCCATTAAGCATGTGTTCCGTAAAGTGCACTCGTGGACAAACCAACATAGGAGGGACGTGCTTGCCTATAGCACTTATTGCAGCAATCATCGTAACATTGATACCACGTTCTCCAGAAGTCATAGATCTGAGTTGTTTCACTGCTTTTGGAGCAATAGTACGATGAGGAGCATGAACAGTAGTATTCCCAGTTTCGTCTACGTTGTAGATGTTATTAGGTAAGAACATGATTTTCCAGGCAACTTGCAAGTTTTGAATAAAATTCACCAACGTTTTTCTTGTTGAAACTGGTAGAACGACCAACACTTGTCGCTTCTGGTTTTCTTAGGGACAAAGTTAAATGACGTTTTAAAAACCAACGGAGCCATTCGCTACCTGCTTTTTTCACTTCCTTCCATTATTCTGGCATCTTTTTGTCGTTGGCGATGGCATAGTGGTAGGCCAACACTCTTACTTCATTTTTGTTTAAATCATAATTCAATCGTGCTGAGAATAATAGATATTCTTCAAGCTCCTTCTCTTCCTCAGATGTAACTCCTTGCTTTAACTCATCTGCAGCCGAATATTTAAAATGTCTATTTCCAGATTCTCGATGTAACTGAATATGTCGCGCTAAGGTTGTTTTACCAACATTGTGTATCCTAGCTGCTTGTCTTAGCTGGATGTTATTAACTACTACATCATTAGCTGCTGCTTCAATGTTGTATGCATTGACGCCTTCCCTTTTCCTGCCGGTTTTGTTGCGCGGCATAATGCTGAAAAGTAAATAAATATCTAAAACACAAGCAGCAAAATTTACAAATTACAAATAGGTAAAAATAATATAAGAATAAAATGTAATCAAAATTCTCATTTAAATGATGATATAAGATAAAGAATGCACACGTCATATGGTAAAAAAAATAACAGACTTTATTGCAGGAACGAAGAGTGGTTACAAGTATTGAACAAGATCTGTCTGTGCCTCGATATAATTCTAATCTTTATAGGAAAAATAACAGAGCTGTATCGAAAAAAAGAAGTAAAAAGCAAATATTTCTCAATGGGCTTGCTTGCCATACAATTCAATTTATTGGAATACTGGGCTTGTACCACATAGTTATGTTAGCAACAGGATTCCATAACTCCTCCCTCCTACGAAATGTTGGTCTCCAACTTAGAGAAAATTTAATTTACAGTTACAATATGGTTCCAAAGCTGTACGAGTCGTAAGAAAGGTTTTGCAACTTAGTATGAACTATTATTCCCAAATGATTTTGGTAATAAGAATAATTTAAAAAGCTAAAATTTCTTTCAAGTAAAGGCAATGATAATTCAATATGCTTGCAGTCTTTAATATCAATTGAAATATTAGTATTAATAGTATTTTAAGTGAATATGAGGACAATTTTCCAACATAGATGGCTTACATGTGCCTGTTTAGTAATTAAAAACATAAATGCGGATTGTTACATAGTTTGATTAAATTGGAGCAAAATCTTTCTTCTTTAAATTACAAAGTAAAATTGCTTGGGATCTTTATTAATTCATTCCTTATAATTAACGGATACAATTAAAAAACGCTGTAAGTTTTTACTGTCAAGAAGAGGTACATGAATTACGAATATGATTCATTTCGCAAAGTTACAATTGATAGTTCGCAAAGATTCAGTATCTCAAAAGGGTGCATTGTTTCAAAATCTAACAGATGATCTTTATGGTATAAAGTTTGCAAATGTTCAATGAGGATATTTATTTCCCTATGATTTAATGAAAGAATGGATAGGACCCTCAAATGATTAATTTGAATTTAAATTTATTTGATGTGCGATTTGCTCGAAGAATTTCATTTGAAAATCCATATTTTGTGTAACAGAAACTATGCTTTCCTGGATATTGATAGTATTGTGCTCAAAAGTGCCTTGCAAAACTTTACAGAAGAAAATAACTTTTTAATTCTGTAGATTCAGTGCGTGTTGATTTTCATGTAGTTTTGGATTGGTTATATAATTTAAATGAATAAGGAATTGAGTTTTATGACGATTTTCGATTTATCTTGAATTTCCTAGCGGCAGTTTGATTACCGGAGGTGCTTTGAGCAGAGGGTTCATCAGTAGCGCTTGAATTGGTAGGCATTGGACTGGTAGAGCTCTGTAAAGGATTTTTACGTTGAGGCTTGATTCGTCTCAGCATGTGTTTTCTATCTTTGATTAAAATTTGATTTCCTTGTTGTTTGCAAAATGTGTGTTTTTGATATTTTGGTTTGTCCTTAGCTTGTCTGATTGGGATTTTGATATAGATCGGAGATTTTAAAACGGGGATCTTAGATACGCGTTTTTCGTTAATTTTGTTAGTTTGTTTTTTTAATTGATTATAAGGATCGTGAGCGATTTGTTCATTAATTTTGTCTTTTTCTAATATTTGTTTAAGATGTGATGAATAAGGGTCTTCAGTACTACCGTATAATAAATCAAAAGCTGTATGTTTTGTAGTAGAATAAACAGATTGATTGTAATTTAATATAACGTCAGTCATTAGTTCAGTAGTAGTGTCTGTTTTTCGAGTCTGTCTTAGGATTCGAAATTTTTCTCCAATGGTACTATGTAATCGTTCAATTGGTGCAATAGAACTAGGATTGCTGGTGCTTCCTAGGTGCAAATGTATTTCATGAGCTTTACAATAATCTTTAATAACTTCTGAACGTGATTCTCCATAATCGGCATGAAGTGATTTTGGAAATCCATGATGTGAAAAGAAATGTTTCAATTTAGATAGTATGTCACGCGATTTCGTGACATGGTCTGATAGGCTTGGGCATATCGACTAAAGTGGTCTATAAAAGTTACATATTTAGTAGTTTCAATAGTAAAAATATCTATGAACACTACTTGGAATGGTTTGTTACTGAAAAATGGGCCTTGGATTGGTTCTTTGTAAGGTTTTCGTTCGTATTCAGCTTTTAAACAGATTTCGCATTTATTAATGATGTCAGTTATAAGGTCTTTAAGTTTTGGTGTATAGTGAGTCTTTTGGAAATGAGAATAAGTTTCGTAATTCCGTTGTGAAATTTATGATGGTACAAAGTTATTTCGTCTTTCATTTCTTGTTTGTCTAAATACATTGGTTTAAATCCAGCTTTTTCTAGTACAATATGTTTTGCAGAAAAAGATTGTGTCATAATTTTACTAAGTATGGGCAAAAGCTTCTGATCGTCGTACCAAATTCTGTATTTAATACCAGGGGTACAATAATTTTTTATACGATCCAAAATAAATGAGGAACATAAGTCATTAATTAAAGAGCACCTTAGTGTCTTAATGGGAAGTAATTTGATCTTGTTTTTCTTTTTACCTGTTATAAATTCAATTCGGTGAGGATAGGCATACAAGTTTTTGTCTGAAAATTGAATCGAGTTTGGGTTTGATTCAGGCGAAGTGTGTCTCGTGTTAGTTGATCTGTTGTCTGTTTCGTGAATAGTCATTTCTGATTCGGGTGCGTTAGGGATCATTGATTCGGTTTCGAGATAATCCTGAACATTTATCTGGATTCGGCTTAAGGCGTCAGCAACTAAATTTGTTTTGCCTTTTTTGTATTTGATTTCGAAATCGTATTCCTCAAGTTATATTTTCCATCTAATTAATCTCTGGTTTGGTTCTTTCAAATTTGATAACCACACCAAAGGTTTATGATCAGTCTTAATCAGAAATCTATGTCCAAATAAATATGGTCTAAAGTGTTTGCATGAATCAATAATGGCTAAGAGTTCTGTTTCAATGGTGGAATAATTTCGTTCAGCAGAGTTTAATGTTCTTGAATGAAAACTGATAGGTCTTCCGTCTTGTGATAGAACACTTCCTATCGCAATATTTGAGGCGTCGGTTGTTAACGTGAACGTTTTTAAAAAATCAGGATATTGGAGTACCGGTGAATTAGTGATAGTCTTTCTTATTACATCAAAAGCTTGAATGTAATCAGGATCTGAAATGTTGATTTTCTCGTCTTTCTTTAAACATTTAGTGAAAGGTTTGGTAGTTTTGGCAAAGTCTTTAATGGATTTTCTGTAATAGTTCGTTAATCCTAAAAATGATTGAATTTGTCTGATAGTTTTTGGTATTGGAAAATCTTGAATGCATCTGATTTTATCCGGATTTGGTTTAATTCCGTTTGGCGTTATTACATGTCCCAGAAATGGAACGTCTGTTCTTAGGAACTCTGTTTTGTCAAGTTGTATTTTCAATTGATGTTTAATTAATGCTTGAAATATAGATTTCAAATGAATAAGGTGGTCTTGCAATGATTTTGAGAAAATTATTATGTCATCTAAATAGACGAAACATATTTTTCCGATGTAAGGTTTCAAAACAAAATTCATCATTCTTTGGAATGTTGCTGGAGCGTTTTTCAGTCCGAAGGGCATTCGTAAGTATTCATAGTGCCCGTTGTCGACGGTGAAGGCAGCCTTTTCAATTGAGTCTTTGTGCATTGGAATCTGATGGAATCCTTGTGCCAGATCTAACGTTGAAAAATATTTGGCTTTGCCTAAACTCTCTAATATTTCTTCAGTTCGGGGCAAAGGATATTTATCTTCGATAGTAATGTCATTTAGTTTACAAAAATCGATTACCATGCGATATTTTTTAACGCCGGAAGCGTCAGGCTTCTTATTTATGATCCATACAGGTGATGAGTACGGACTTGTACTGGGACGGATGATGTCACCTTGCAAAAGTTTAGCGACTTGTTTCTGAATTTCGGTTTTTAAATAGACTGGATAGCGAAAAGATTTTACAAATATTGGGTCGTCGTGTTTTGTTCTGATAGAATGAGATGTTACGGTACATGGCTCTAATTTTTCGTTAGGTTTTAGAAAAGCTTCAGGAAAATTTCTACAAAGTTCAGTTATCTTGTATTTTTCCTCGTCATTCATGTGATCAGTTCTTATTAAAGTTCCAATATCAGTTAAATTATAGCATATTCATTCTGGGGTGTTTCAATGTTGTAATTATCCAAATTGTCGTATTTGATGCATTGATAGTTTAAATCTAATAGATTTGGATTTTCTGGGTATAGTCCTTCGTAATTATTAACGGTACAAATCATTTCGGGTGTGTAATCGTTAGAATTTAGATATTTAATAGGTGGAACGATAATTTGTCCATTTTTGATAGGGGATTTTAGAACTTGATTTTTGATTACAGTGTTCGGGACTTTACGTGGTATTTTGTCAGTGTGGCAAATGAAGTTAAAACGATCAATGGATAGCAAATACTTAGATGTTTGTAAAGTAGCTTGGAATTTTTGTAGATCATAATATCCTAGCAAACAGTCAAAACGTTCGTGCCAGTCTAAAATGAGAAATTCAATTTCAGTGTTAATGCCATGTTCATTGAACAAAGGAATTCGCAAAGCGTATTCACCGTGTTTAGTACCAATGACAGATTTTATTGAAAAGTGTTTTGGATAAATGTAATCTGGAAAATAATTGAAAGCAATTTGAGTTTTGATCAAAGAGACAGATGCACCAGTGTCTATAAGAACTAGCAAATCTAAATTTTGTAAATAAATGTATGGAAAATGTGTGTTTTCATAATTATTGAGATCTAAGTCAATGGGTTTTGATTTGGGGCTGCCGGAAAATTTTGAGTTGTCTCTTTCAGGGGGAAACTCGACAGTAGGGTTACTATCTGAATTTTCATATTCTCGTTGGTCATAATTTTCATAATTTGGATTATAGTATTGCTGTTCATCGTATTCTTGTTCGTTTTGTGATTGTTCGGTCGCTTCGGTGTTAGTTAGTTCTTCAGCGATAAAATTCGGTCTTTGTCCGTGATTTGAAAAAAAAGATAGGACAGTATTGATTCTGTTGTTGCGAGGGGCGGTTCGTAATAGTTGATGTAGACATGGGTGTCGGCTTAAAGTTTTTTGGTGGACCTTGTCTATTTTGTGGATAGAAATTAGGCTGTCGTGGTTGAATTTGTCTTTGAAATTGATTATTAAAATAATTTGGTCTGATGTTAATCGGGCCAGTTGGGAAGTTAGATCGTTGTGGCTGTTGGTAAAATTGCGGATTGTAAAATTGTTGGTTTGAAGGGAATCGCCACATAGGTGTATTTTGAATGGTATTTGTAGGTTTCGGTTTTTGAATGGCGTTAGTATTTTTGGAATTTTGTTTAGTAAATACTTTGCATTGCGATTTTATTTGTAAATTATCGTATTTTCGACAAATTTGTAAGGCAGCTTGAAGAGTTGTAGGTGTTGCGTTAAATAGGAGTGATTTATATGGTTCTTTAATACCAGTTACAAATGAATTTAATGCAGCTTCTGTGTAAAGGTCGACTCTAGATTGAGCAACTACATCAGAAAATTCCAAAAGAGCATATTCTCTAAGAATATTTAATTTTTGCAAAATTTCAGTATGAAAATTCATATAGTCTGTGTACTGGGATACATTTCTAAGTTCATCAAGTAGAATCAATTCGGATTTTGAATCTTTGTAACGTTCTTTGAGAATTTCTTCAAATTCTTGCCAAGTTTGAGGATTATTTCGTTCAACGATTACAGAAGGTTCTTCTTGTAGTTTGGATTTTACGTACGATAAAGCATGAATTTGATACGGGCCATGCAAAGCGGCAACAAATTCTCTAGATTTACGTAAATATACAGATAAATTATTTGATGTTTCAGAAAAAATAGGCACACTATCTTTCAATAGGTTAAATAACATTTGTGGATTGTCAGCCATGGTTGTTCTGAATTCCTCTCTAACGTTAGCTTGGTTTTTTACTGGTTGTCTTCTAATGGGTGATCGTTCTCGTACTGGAGATTTACCAAAAGTTTGTTTGACTAAATAGATAAAATGGATTTGGCTTACTCTAACGTTATGTGAAAAATCAAATTTTTCATAACGGAGACTGCTCTGGTTCTTGCAGCTCTCTGTTTCTCTAGGCTCGTGCTGCAGGGACCTCGGACGTGGCTCACAGGTTCTCAGATCGTTTCTCTTACGGAAGTGGATACTTCCTACCTCACAATGGTTGGTCACACAGAAGGGACGTAGTTCAGCTCACCTGATGAACCTCGATGATTTTACGGATGGTTGGCTGGGCTCGTACAAACTTCCAGATGTTTTCCACGAAGGCGATCCTGTTCGCAGCGCCAGATAAAGAATGCACACGTCATATGGTAAAAAAAATAACAGACTTTATTGCAGGAACGAAGAGTGGTTACAAGTATCGAACAAAATCTGTCTGTGCCTCGATATAATTCTAATCTTTATAAGAAAAATAACAGAGCTGTATCGAAAAAAAGAAGTAAAAAGTAAATATTTCTTAATGGGCTTGCTTGCCATACAATTCAATTTGTTGGAATAATGGGCTTGTACCACATAGTTATGTTACCAACAGGATTCCATAACTTATATTGTTTATTATAGATATTTCAGGTAAAAAAGGCTGTAGATTGCATGAAGATTATTTAAAATATCAGCCCACGGGTCGTACTTTCATCTTCATCTGTTTCATGTTTTAAAATGTAGAATCATTTATGACTCCACATTTTATAAGCATGCATTGGGTACATGCAAATCTTCGTCCCGAGGTATATACAGACTTTGAAGTTGAGTCATTAATTTTCAGATAATGATTGTAGAAGGAAGATAAACCAAAATATGTGTGTAAGAATAAAAAAAGTTAAAAAAATATGTTACCTTGTTTTATAAAGTATCCTCCCGACAAGTATTTCAGTGCGGACCTGTATTTGATCGTGCGGTCTTGGAGCACCGGCATGCCCACCACTGTGAGGTCTTAAGTCACCTGATTCACGAGCCCTTCGTACTACATTAACAAAGGCACGAGGGGTTGATTGCACTCGATTGGGAAACCGATCCGCATAAATTCGTGATGCCGCGGCAGCATTTTGTAAAGACTTATAAGCGTTTCAAATTCTTTCGCTTTTTTGTTTCCGATGCGATGAACAGATAAGGCGGATTATATCCGTTGTTGCCAAACACGAGCACATAATATTATTATTGAGAGAGGGCGGTACTCAAACTTCTTAAGGGCTATAACTTTGTTACTCTAATTTTACCAGAAAAATGTTAAAGGAAAAAACATTTCTTTTGATAAGATCTACTCACTGTGAAAATAAATGACTCAACTTCGAAGTCACGCTATATAATAAGAATAAATTACATCATGTACGTACCTGGTTCAATATTCAAAAATCTATGTCACCGATTTGCAAAAACACAACAATAAAGTACAAAATGTGAATTTGCTGCACATAAAACAAAATAAGTATCTCTTACGACCTGCGCGTTTCTCGATCACAACGCTCACTGAAGTATGTAAACTGTTATATTGCTCCCTTAACTATACTTGGCTATTTCGGTTCCAGTATCACAGATGGCGATAATATCCGCTTTGCCCCAATGTACTTGCGTCCCAAATGTCAAATGTAATATAGTAATTTATTGTTGTGTATATTTTTGTTCGAATGAATCACAACAACAAATAAGGAAGATTGAGTTAGTGGATTTGGCAGAAAACAAAAAAACTCTTCAACAAGCAATTTCGGACAAAGCGGATAAGGTCCGTAACCTCAATCTTGCAGTTAGTCAATTTAAGAATGTTTTTTGTGCATATAGCAGAAGAATATGAAAATGGAACAACTCGAGGATCCTGGTGCTGCTTTTGAAATGGTACCTGCCATCAAGTAGTAGTAGTAGTAGTAGCAGACATTTATTTACTTTATCTCTCTATTGCATGATTTATTTGACATGTTTTTTGTCCTAAAAAAATTATTACTGATGAGTTATATCATTGGGTGGTCAAAATAAAATATAAAAAATGTGTCAAACATATTTCATTAAAAAAAGTGGTACAAAATTTTGTTCCCGCTTGGGAACATTATGGGTATGGAGTACAATAAGAAGTTATTTTAATTTATATGATACTCTACAAAACAATTACTTTTTGCATAAAAACAAAGATGGACTTTACATTTTAGACATAAAACTCGACTTTTTCCGTTACAACCTTGGTTCTTGCATCTTTCACGGTTTTCCAACCATTGAGGCCAGTGCTCAACATCATCATACCTGACCTGAGTGCTTAGAGTAGGTTCCTTGCATCTTCTGCTTCGGTAACTAACTGCAATTTGAACGGATGTTGGTCTACCTCGCTTTCTAGAATTTTTTACAACATTACACATTGCTATAGCGATTTCGGTCTTGAATTCGAGTAGCGATATATTTATTTTGTTCTTGCTTGCCCAATTGTTTATTTATACGTTTGTCTAGGAGCCACGAATTTACGATAACAACATCAAGCATGTGATAAAAAAGGCGATGATACCATTGTTTGCTTCTGATGTTTGGGTAAGTGATTTCAATCTTTTTTTCTGCTGTAGAGTCAGTACCACAAAACGAGCTAGTTAGGGAAACAACTTTGTTATCGTACCTCCTATTACATGATTGTCGACTTTTGAATTTTTTTCTAAACAGGTGCCCCTGCCCTTTTTTTGAATTTGTTTTTCATCAGGAAATCTATAGCCTGGTAGATGATTTGGGCGCACAGTACCAACGCTTTCAATTCCTTTGTTCTTTAGGTAAACAACAAGATTTATTCCTGCCAAATGATTATCAAAGTAGACCTTGTGATTCAAATTTTCTGGCACAATTCGACAGAGACGTACAATAACACTGCTGGCGGCTCCAAGATCAGGTTCGTTCGGAAGTCTTTCAATATCTTGTTTACGTGAAAACAACCCCAAATTGTAAGTAAAACCACTTACGCCAGACAAAACCCATATCTTATATCCCCTTATATGGGGAATTTTAGGATTGTAGGTTTTCAGAGGAATTCGTCCCTTGAATGGAACAATCTGTCCGTCACACGACAAATTTTCTTCTAAAGGTACCTTCTGTCAAGCTACTTTCAACTGGTTGAAAACCGGCATAATTTTATCTGTGCTTGTGGTAATCTTCTGGTTGTCAGTGAAATGAAGAAATCTTTTTATTTCTTCAGAAAGGTTAACTGGTATAACATCAGCCACTTGGTCGATTCTGGTGGATCAGTACCGCCTTGAGTTTGGCTGCTTCATAAGTGACATCCATATGGGTATACCTAGAAATCGTTCCAATTCATCCTTCGAAAATTGGAGTGGCTTATTGAGATGTACTTGAGTGCTGTACAAAATTTTCTCATAAACAACTTTGTCTAAAAAGACATTATTAAAAATTTTTGTAAGGCGTTGCCAGCTCTAGAAACTTCTGAGGAGGTAGAGAGCTACCGAGAAATTGAGTTCCTTGTACATCAGTATGGGTAGTGGAACTTGCCCACTTCAATTCAGAAGCTTTGCTGCTGGAGGCCATGTTTGGAAGCAAATGGACTTACGGAGAATCATCGTCGCTATCATCTGAGTCTAGGTGGATTATTCTCCCAACTGGAATATCCGGCTCTTTGATGTCATCCTGCAATATGGAATCTTCACTGTCAGATGGAATGTCTCTAATATGGGTATTGTTTTTACCATAAAAGACTTTAGGTTTCACTGGGCCGAGTTTTTCCATGTCCACATCCATAAAGAGCATCTAGTAAAACAAATATTTAGATATATATTGGAAAAAACAACACACTTTTGACAAACATATTGAATATATAGTATAAACCAAAAAGAACACCAATCCATATTATTCCCACTTGGGAATAAAATATGTCTATCCAAAGCTAACCTATATTTTCAGAATATTATCGCTGTGCATAATGTTTTCACTCAGGAACACTAATATCTGCAGAAAAAGTAATTACATGCACAAAAATAAACGTAACACCCAACCACCTTACGTATCAAATACATATTTAGAGACCATATAATAATTTTATACCATAAAACTTACCATTCCTAAAAATGTATTGAAAACACCTCGAAAAGCATCAGCTGATTATACGATCAGGATGACGGATATCCTTACCTCGACGATGTATATGTGGCACCATCTATACAGCAACGTATAGACATCGTTCCCGTGTGGAAAGTTGATGCATACAAGTTTGGTAAATGCTTACGGAAAAATAGAGGAAGTTGTAGAATTTACTGTTCCCATTTGGGAACAATATGAAATAGAGGGTTATTATATAAGATCAACAACAACATAGAATGGGTAAATAAAAGTTTCAATCCACGGAAGGACAATACCTGTACATGGATCAGTTATATGGTGGCATGTCTTCCAAAATAAAACAAAAAAGCTGAAACAACCCTGAAGAAAAATTTATACCAATTTGATGATTTCTGTTTATAATTATACGTATTTTGAAATTGATTTGAGTCTTTGGGTATGTTTTCATTCAATTTTGGAGCCAAATAGAAACAAGATCGTTTCATTATGGTCTTGTGAGGCTTAGGGACAGTTTTTGCTCTAATTTTTATCGGGTATCGTGGCAATGTGTGATTTTATCGCGCTCGCTGCCAACTTTGTGATAATGACTGATAGTATACTAAGTGCCATATAAATCCGAACACCCAGTTTAAATGGTTTTATTTTAATAAAAGTTGGTGAATGTATTTATCTTACTGTAAATAACAAGTGAAAAAAATGTTCAGCCTTATCAGTTGGGCATTCCGGTTTTTATACTGCTTTCTTTTAATTCACTAACGCTTTAAAAATGAATATTTCAGCCGCAGTAAAAAATCAACGTTGGCGGATTTTGGTTCTTGACATCCTTTATGATCGGTTACGATGCCTAGAGTACGGAGGCCTGTACGATTTCGTCAACTTAGTGAGTTTGATAGGGGCCGTAAAGTGGGACTTCGGAAAGCTGGACTTTCTTTTCGGGCAATTGCAGTTAGAGTGCAAAGAAGTGGTTAGGTCTTATCAGGCATGGCGTCGAGAAGGCCGTACGCAAAGAGCAAGGGGCACTGGACGCCGCCGTAGAACAACAGACCGTGAAGATCGCCGCCTAAGATTATTGGCCTTAAGGGACCGTTTCTCCACTACCTGGTCCATTGCAAATGAATGGTTTGCAGAACACGGAAGACCTATTGGCATGCGAAGTGTTTACCGACGAATGAGAAGTTTTGACTTGTTTTCATACCGGCCACACTGGGTCCTCCCTTTAACTCGAGAACACCGACGTAATCGCCTTGAGTGGTGCAGACAACGGTCACTCTGGGATCAGGAATGGAACAGTATTGTCTTTAGTGACGAGTCTCGATTTTGTTTAGGCATGCACGATGGTCGTGCCAGGGTAGAAGGAGGAATCCACAGTTTTTTGTTGAAAGACATGTTCATCACACTGTTGGAGTTATGGTTTGGGGTGCTATAGCTTATGGTTCCAGGTCACCTTACATCTTCATCAGAGGTAACATGAATGCGCAGCGTTATATCCACGAAGTTCTAGAACCCCATCTTTTACCCTATCTTGACACCCTGGCAGATCCAACTTTCCAACAAGATAATGCCCGACCACATGTTGCAAGAGTCACAATAGACTTCTTTCAACATAATGATGTCACATTGTTACCATGGCCACCGAGATCTCCCGACTTATCCCCAATTGAGCACGTGTGGGATATGATGGGTAGGAGATTGCTCAATTTGCAACGTCCTCCTCAGACTCTAGAAGCACTTCGAGAGGAGTTGGTGGTTGCCTGGAATGAGATACCACAGGAGGACATTGACCACCTGATCAGAAGCATGGCTAGGCGCGTTGGAGAATGCGTAGCACATCAGGATGCATCCACACATTATTCAACGTCAAAGGGCTTTAAAGCAGTGCAATCATTTTGAAATTTTTATCATTTACTTATTATGCTTCATTAAGTACTTGTACAAAATTTTATTAAAATAAAACCATTTAAACTGGGTGTTCGGATTTATATGTCACTTAGTATGTATATGTAAAAAATAGAGTTGCTTGATATGAAATAATTTTGTTGCGTCATATATATCATTTGAGGAATATAATTTTAGTTTTCCGAACAATGTTTTTAAAACAGTTCCCGGTAAAACTTCTATGTCGTTTAAATACATTAGGTGCGGCTCAATTCAGGCATGATATACAGGGTGACTTCGAAGTTGAGTCATTTATTTTAACAGTGAGTAGATCTGATCAAAAGAAATGTTTTTTTCCTATAACATTTTTCTGGTAAAATTAAAGTAACAAAGTTATAGCCCTTTAGATGTTTTAGTGCCGCCCTGTCTCAATAATAATATTATGTGCTCGTGTTTGGCAACAACGGATATAATTCGCCTTATCGGTAACATTTATCACGATGTTTTTACTCAATTTTATTCACTCGTATTCAGTCAATGTGTCAGTCGGTAACGCGTGAGTGAATAGTTGTGTTTGTTGCGTGGCTCAAACGAAATAAAAAATGGCACATGTTTACGAAAATGCTGAACTTGTGAACATGATTCTTATTTACGGGGGGAGGAGTCATTACAAACTGCTGCCGCGGCATGACGAATTTATGCGGATTGGTTTCCCAATCGAGTGCAACCAACCCCTGCCTTTGTTAATGTAGAACAAAGGGCTCGTGAATCAGGTGACTTAAGACCTCACAGGGGAGCGCATGCCGGTGCTCCAAGACCGCACGATCAAATACAGGTCCGCACTGAAATACTTGTCGGGAGGATACCTTATAAAACAAGGTAACATTTTTTTTTTTTTTATTTTTACACACATATTTTGGTTTATCTTCCTTCTACAATCATTATCTGAAAATTAATGACTCAACTTCAAAGTCACCCTGTATATAGTATGCATATAATTTTATGCCTGTGAGGAATTTTGTATGCAACAAATCTAAGCTGCATGAACGTCCCACCTAAAATGTTGCTCTAAAAAATCCTAAATATTTGATATTGTCCACTCTGTGAATTTATTTGTGTTTATATTGAAGGAAAGATTTGAATAATCGGGTAGTTGTCTTGCAGATGATGTGAAGTGTAGAAAATGCGTTATTTCAAAGTTCTCGGTTAATTTTCTAGAGAAATGATTAATGTTTTTATCAAAGTCGTTCTCAATTATCTTTACGTCATACCAGTCTTTTCCTTTATATGGTATTGCCGTATCATCAGCAAAACTATTTTACCTACACAGTTAATTTTGAATATATCATTCAAATAGATGTTAAATAAAAGAGAGCATAACATTGTACCCTGATGTACAACCCATTTGATACACATTTCCTTACTGGATGATTTTGATAGTTTCACTACTTGGGGCCTTTTTGATAAATAACTTTGCATCAAAGGATATATTTTCCCACGAAAACCTAATTTGTCTTAAATATTTAACAGTAAACTGTGATTAACTGTACCGAATGCCTTTTTCAGATCGACAAATACACAAATAGATGGAATTTTTTCCTCAAGGTTTTGGGTGATTTGATTCGCTAGACTTAGGGCCGATTTCACCAACATTATTATTATGGACCAATAGGAAAATACCTTATCGAAATGCAATTTAACGGAAGCTGTCAAAGGTGTCAGAATATCAGTGATTTCTATTAAAATGTTGAATAAAATCGTAAAAATTCGACTGTATTATAAACAAGACCACTCTTTGATTCCAACATGATGCTTTTGTACAGAAAAAACAGGACAACTTTCATGTATTTTGATATACGTTATAGGTTTACATTTAACAATCCGTGATCCCCTCAGTGAATGGGAATGGGAGAAATAATAGGTCGATTTTCTAGCTGTTAAATTTGGCAGCAGGTTTGGTCGTTTGTTAATTCATGGCAATCTCGAAATTTGTTAAGTTCAATATATGTACTGTGTGTATATTATGAGATCATTATAGCTACACATACCTGTTAAATTGTGCGTATTTGCAAGAAAATAGAATATAAAATGTATTGCAACCAATTCCTCTTCTCTCTTTACATCATAATAGTAATCATTTGTAATAAATTCATGGGTTAATGAATTTCTTCAAAGCAATCAAAACAGTATGGTCGTCCCCATCCTAAAACACCGATATGTGTAAAACATGTTAATCCCTACATCTCCGAAGTGCATAATGCAATTACTGTAGACATATACCTAAAATTATTAGCAATTACTGAAAAATAAGAGCTAAAAAGAATTATAAATTGTGATTAAATATTGGTGGTTAAGGTTTTTGACTGGTGACTGGTGGGGATACAATATAGGGATGGCGACGATAGAGAAAGATTTTCCCCTGCCGGCCCTTGACATCGTTTCGAAATATGAAATTCTGGAAACGCTATAAAAATAAAAATGAATACACAAATCCTACTTGCCTATTTCAGACAAAAACACATAAGGATTGTCACCTTGACATCATTCTGCAATCTGTCAAAGTAGTAATGGGCGTGCCTGCTGCACGGTATACGGTATCGATATTCGATAACATATTTTTCTTTCAACCATGAATGCGTGGAAAAAACAAAATAAGGAGAGATCTAAAATAAGGAGTTATTGAAGGCCTAAAATAGCCAGGCGCTAATAATTCGTGGCAGTATTTGAATATCTAAGCAGGCACAGTAAAACAAAAATAAGACTTGGAATTAATAAAGTTTATTTCGACAGTTGGCAGAGTTTGCTCCACTGGGTACTGGTGTTGAAAGAGTAATCATACGCAACTCGAGTACTCGTTACTCAAAGATAACGAGTACCAATCCGAGCACGAAATGATTACTTTGATTACTCTGTTTTCCGTATCCCTACCCGGTACAATCGTTGATCGTTGAGTGGTAACGCTGGTTAGACTGTGGCACTACCGCTCATGCACCAGGGTTGGCAGACATCCCACATTCAGATGGAAACCTGAAAACTCATTTTTTTTATTGGCGGACATAGAATTTGGTAATTGTTTTTAAATCTGAAGTTTACCTATTTACACCGTGACACAAATTCGCTTTTATTGTTGTGATCTTGGGAACCTGAAAAGGAATAAGTAGTCGATTGGATCGGATCAAATTTCGGCAGTATTATGAGGCAGAAAAGTGACAACAAGGTAACACCACCGTTCAGGAAAACCACAATAATAAAAGTTATGTCAATTTGACTCGTGTTTCCATGCACCGTTTCGCTAAAAAAATTATAATTCAGTATGACCACCAATAGTATGCCTAGACCAAGCTCAACGTAGATTTTTTTTTAAACTGGTATATTATGCTTAATTGAAATGCTTCGAAAAGTCACATGCCATTTCGAATTTCCTTAATCCCATATACAGATCATCTTTCTGAATAAAAGACATGTTTTTAAGTATTTCTAGTAAATACAAATTATTTTCAGTTTGTAGGCTCATATGAGTCATATGACACTCCATCCTATGATAACTCATCTCGACAAGCATACGGTTTGAAGATACAATGTTTGCATTAAACACGATAGTCTTGAGTAAACTATGCTTCTAACATTTTGCAAATTTTAAGGTCGTCTATTTTCTTACAAGATTCGGTTCCATTCAACTTCTTTAAATTCGACATTAGTCACACGACGCACATTGCCAAATCGTTATACTCATACTACTCATAGTAATCAAAGTAACGAATACAATAAACGATTACTTTGTAGAAGAGCAACGATTAGTAACGAGTACTCGAAAGTAACGATAACCAACACCACCACCACTGGGACGAAGTGTTGACGGATCCCACAGAATTTATGTGTCACTTGTCGATATGGTTAGTTTTAAAATATCAGGAGATAATCAGCTGTTATTCAAATCGGTGTATATGTTTTGCGATTCAAATAACGTCTAATATAAATATAACCCAGAATATGTTATCAGTGCAACAAGAAAGTTATTGTAAATTTCTAGTTTTTCTGCAGGTTTTAAGTTTGCCGGGAGGTTTACGACATATGTTTGAGTATTTGTTGATCGCTGTGAATTTATGGTGGGTTCATGCACGATTTAAGCTAACTTAACTTAAGAAAATGAGCATTTCATGCGCATGCGCGGCCAGGATTGCCAAAGTAGCAGTTGAGGCAACATGAAAGTTAAATACCCTTAAATAATCATATGTTTAACGTCAAAGTAGCAGATGAAAGAGTGTTTTGTGGCTTATGTGTCACGTGGACTGGCGGGCCAGCCTTGATGTTGACAAGTGGCCCCTCCCCACACGCTTGCGCCAATGCAGGTCAAAGAACTCGGATAATAGTCCAGATAATATGGGAACATCTGCTCGGAAAACTCTTCCGATTCCTATTTTTGCATAATCTGATTCAAGGACCTCTTAAAGAATCTGCATGTGACTAGGCCCAAAATTGCTCCAAAAATTGTTATTAAACCGATTCCAAAAATTGATTTGTTCGCTTTGTTTAAAGTATTTTGCGGTTTTTAGGACATTCTAAATAAAAAATGAGCTTTAGAACTTTTCTCTAGACTTGATATATACAGGTATAAGCAATGTAAAAACTCAAAATATGTCATTTGCTACCCTAAAAACAATATGAAAAATGAATATTTTGTTGTTGCCAAATCTCACACATGCTTCAACCAACCAATAACAAAACCCCCAGAGCATTTGAATGCGCGCTCAATGTATAGTCTATGTCTATGTGAACGCGAGAGAGATAAAATATCTCTCGTGCACGCTGAATATGCATTGAGTGTCCGCTTGCATATAAACTAAATACAAAGATTTATAATAACAGTATCTCCTAAAAGGTATCGCAATTGTGTTAATGGTTATTTATGAAGCAGGGCGACATTAACATTTTCGTTTTTTCAGATAGTTTTTCGGTATCGCAAAATCAACTTTTTGTACTTTCCCATCTCGTACAAAATCAGCTTTTAACAAACATTGTCAAACATCGTTTTGTTTCGGAGTATCAAAAAAACGAATGCTACCTTTGATGAAGCGAAAACATTAATTTTTGTAATTTATTTGAAAAAGTTGTTCAAACAATTAGAGACGCAATTTGGAGCCTGACAACATGTAGATTTGTTACTAGGAGGCTTTTTCGAATAACATGCAAAAAGTCCGAATCCGAATATTTTCCTAAGCAGATGTGAAGATATTTCTTGGACTATAACCTCGACGGCAGCGCCACTTTTCTTGGCTGGAAATCTGGTGGAACTATAAATATTGAAAGTATGCCGACAACGCATATCAGGAATGTCAGGAATGTGTCGGCGATTTCATTTGTTTACATTATGAAATCTGACTGACGACCGATATTGAGGCAGTTCGATGATCATAGATGCATAACACATCCTCAATAAAGGGAGTATTTCTTTCATCAGTTTGACTAGTAATGAATATCAGGATAATAAAAAAATGTATAATTAAAAAAATATTTACTGAACAGTCACAGCAATAATAGAACAAATTCTTCATTACAATAAATTGTACATACATAGAGGTATTCTACTCATCTGGATTTTTCTCTATATTATGAACCTGATCAGTGCAATATCATGCAAGCACTATCTCTTGTTAATTGATCAGGTATATTTATTGCGAAAACATAAATACTAAAATAACAAAAAATACATCTGTAGGTAGAGGACTGACTGGAATACAAATATAATCACTCTGATATGTGAATCAAAAATAGTTTTGCGCACACTGTTTAATGGGTAAAGGCAATCAAAATTGTCCTCAACAAAAAAAAACACATAAAACAGTAATTGTTTCTTCAAACTAGGAAACAAACTCTCATTGACAATTAATTTGGTATCCATAAAATAAATGACGATCTTCATTCCAACTGTCTCCTCGAAGGATTTTGACACTGTGAAACAAAAAAAAAATTATTAGCATAATATCACTGTCATATTTGGTCAGCAAGCACTAAACAGAAACATAGTCATCTCACCACGCCCCTTCAGATGATACTGCTCTGTACATATGTATAAATTCCCAATCTAGCAGTATACATTTGATTGCCAAAATTCTGTGTTTAAAAAAAAAATTTTCATTGGTGATACCAAATGCCAGTCCTGAATTTGGCCCTTTACCAGGTTTGTTATTACCAACGGTACAGATGTCACAAAAAAAGTTACGTGCTACTCAATCTGTTTACCTCAATAAACGTCAAAAGAGACATATTTGGTGGGCTGCGAATACACAGCATTCGTCAGGTGTACACCTGGTTTGTAGTTAATTACAAAGTACCTTCCAGTGTTCTGTGAGGTTTTGGAAAAACATGTCATGGGGGGCATGGTATAGATTTAAATTCTCTTTTTTCTTCTGTAGGGGCTATAACTTGCCAACATCACCACTGGTACAGTCTCAGACATAAAAGTGTTTGCATCTATCAGCTATGAAGTCAGTACTACAAGCACAAAATTTTAAGATCATTTCCATTTTTTTTTTCGTTCTCTAGAATATAATTCCAAAATCCTCTATCTTGGTATTTTTTTCATGCTGTTTTTTGATCTAATTTATGAAGGAAACATGACCACTGACTTTAATTATTATAATTTTTAACATACATGATTTTTTTTATCAATCCGCCCCGATGTTCAGCTCTAAACTGTCATGCGTAAGCAAGCGCAAATAATTTTTCATACAAGTATCACCGAACCATCTGCCCATACAGCGATATAAAATCGATCAAACATCACGATATAAATATCGACTATCGACTTTTGTACAGTATCGATGGCTCGTAGCCATCTTCTAATTCCAGCTGTAGCGATCAGCTGACCAACGCTAGTGATCCGATTGGTTGGTTCTTAAGGAAAAGTTCAATATATTGAACTTTAATTTAAGAAGTGACCTTGAAATTAAGAAAACGACCATAACCTCAATATATTTTGTCATTTATGATTTGGATACTTACTGCAACGTCATCATTAGGCGCTCCTCTGGCGATGTCCGATTGCGTTCAGGTGACTTCTGCAGGTACCTCTTCAACAAGGTCAGCAGTTGATACCACCGCGGCTTTTCGTTATTTTGCTCTAGGCATGGCCATCCTCAATTAATCGCACAAAAAACAAGTCAAAGGCAGAAAAACACACCCGAAGACGAACACCAAAACAAATCTCTACCACAAATTCGTCAACAACTCAAACAAAAACAACAGATGAGTCACTGCCTGGCTTTCTGGGTAAATCGTCGTGGAACACAGGACACCACAGAATTATTATAATTACGTCAATACGAGCATAGAACAGTATGGAAAAGGCTATCCAAGGGTAAGACGAGTTCCGAAACCACCCGAATCATGTCAAAAAATGGGTGTGACGTCACCAAAACGTTTGACCACCACTGGAAGTCACTAGCAAGTTACTATCTGGAGGCGTAACATGTGGAGGACACTGGTGTAGAAACAGCTGATCCTTAAGTTCGGTTAGTTTAAGTCGTGCATGAACCCGACATTAGTGTGCATTTTTGTTAAGTTCCTGAACAACGAAAAATATTCAACTTTATGGGTGTATGGATATTAAAAAACCAGAATGGTTTTGTGGG